CACGTGCAGCTGCACAGTGCAGCATGAAGACCTAACACAGAGTTAGGTCTTCAAAGTTTTTTTTATATAAAAAGTTTTATATACAAAGTTTTTTTTATATATATATTTATATTTTTATATATAAAGCGCCTATCACCTGATTGATAAACATTCTTTGGAACCATTTTGATGACAGGGGTAAGAACAGGAGTCAGCCTGTCAGAACCTCAGCATTTCTGTTTCCAACCAATTGAAAAAAAAATTAAAATAAAAGCCACAAGACTTTGCTGCCAGCCTGGCATGCTGGCGTTTAATACTGCTACTCCATCAGGGTTGGAGGGAGACTTATTGTGAATGGCAACAGTTTGCACTGTGATTTCTCCAGCTGCGCTGCAGAACAGCACAGGCATCACAGCAGGGCAGTGGGATGTGAAGGCTCAGACCCGTTACCAGTCAAAATGTCTCACCAAAGCTATGAAAGGCTTTTTGGGATGGACAGTGTAGCTGTTTCCCTCTATAAGCCACCAAGTTCCAATTTCAGTGTGGTGCATCGTTCTACATACATCCAGGTGGTTTCCTGAGAAAGCACAAGTTAGAGAGCAAATCCTGAAGCCTACAAGATGACACTGCTGTTTGCTGGCAGTCACACAATGTGGCTTACAGAGCCTCAAGACATCTCTCACAGCTGAAGTTTCCATAAGCAACACAGAAAAGCAATAGCTAGAATCAAGTCATTCTAAACCTTGCAATATACATTTAACTAGGAAGGTTAAATACACCTAAATTACAGTGTAATTTCAAGTCATCTCTCAGAAACACCCTGAAGCAAGCCCCAGCTTTTCGGCTTTTTCTAATCACGCTTCTGAGAAACACACGGAGCGTGCAGTTGGGAAGTCACTCTGGCCCCTACTACACTGCTTTCAGACTGAACGTGGAAAAGTAGGCAGATGCTTCAGACACGTTCACTGACTGAGCTCACCATGGAATATACCTTCCAGCATTTTTGACAGAATTTACTGTCACATGGACCTTTCCCTAAATTCAGTCAAAACAAGGAAGAGACCTGCAAAGCAACAATTGTTAAGAAGGACTGATACAAGAGGTGCTACTTACAGAGCAAAGTAGGGCCAAAACGCTCAGCTGGGTCTTAATTATATCAAAATGCTCCATCGCAACTGATGCACAGGCACCTCGATCACAGCAGATCCCTGTGCCTTACACCCCAGTCAGCACTCCAGTGGGGAACAGACACTGCTTTGGGGATTAGTCATGCAGGTGGCTACCAGGATTGGCTCCATATGCTTTGAGTCTGCTTAATGAAAACAGCTTGAATTAATTACTTAAATTAAAAAGGAGCAACCTCAGGTTGGACTGGCTGAGGATCTGGTCTACAGTATTCAAAATCTGTGTTGTGGGTTGTAGAAAACTGATCTTATTTTTGATTGAGACATACGGAAATAATTTGTGACATTCAGTCAATAGTTACATGTATTCTAGCAGTTCATCCATTAACGTCCAACTTTATCTTTCTCTGCTTCAAGATTTCAATTCAATGCTGTGATAAGGGTCGTTATATTTCACTAACTTCAGAGTAAATAACTTGTTGATGTTTACCACCTGAACACAGATAGAAGGGATAGCTGTAACCTTTTCAGCCAAGTCTTTCTTCTTTACCTTCAAATTTAACCATCAGTCCTGTTTCAGCAAAGTGTGTTCCCTGAATGTATATTCTACTGAGGACAATCTTACAAAACAACAAAAAAAGGATAAGCTTCTGAAGATAAATACGCTGACACAAAATTCAAAACACAACACGAAAAACCCCACACCTCCTAATTGTGCACAGGCTGATAATTTACCACTGATTAAAGAGTTTGTATTTTTTTCAAATCTTTTTTAGAGGGAAAATTACTTCTGAAGGTGAAGATGTGCTTAGACAATCATATTAACATATTCAAACAATTGTAATTTGCAAAATAGTAATTACAACTCACTATCTGCTAGCATTAATCAAACTTCAAGGTTTAATTCCATTTTAAATATTGATGAAATGTGATTCTCCAATCTAACCCTGGTGTTGCAGGGTTATGGAAGCAGCCAGTGACAGAAAAAGAGGAACGTGTAGTTAACAAGCAGCTGCCACAAAGAAGGATCGGCATCTGTGATTTAAATTGTTAGCTGCACAGTCAGGTAGAGTGTAAAAAGGGTAGTCAAGAGGCTGTTAAGTCCATTGCTGCCAATTACTAACAATCAGGGAGGAGCTTTAAGACTTGTTCAGTACAATAAACCCAGTTTGTCTTGTTTCAGGGGTTACTACTGAAGAGGTTGCAGCTGCACTGATTCAAATAGCCCTAAAACTACAGTAATTATCAACCAGTCTTCTTTAGTGTAGCAAAAGTATGTTTTACCATAGCTTAACTCTTTACATTCTAATATTTCTCTGCCACTTCTCCCATAGCTGGCCCCAGAGCCATTCTGATGTCTGCTTTTGTGGTTCTAGCTGTGCTGGATCGGTGCTTTCCTTTCCCTTACCTACCCCGAGTTGTACAGCACTCTCGGGTTGGATGGCAGTGCTAGGATTTGCTTTAGAATATATTTCTTTAATATTTAGTCCTTACACCTATTATTCATTTTCATACATAAAGTTGACATCCATATAGCCCATTCAGTTTTTGCAGCTGATTATTTTAATATTGCATGGGATCTGATCACAGCATAAACACTGCGAGGCTGGGGAGGCTGAAGGCACAGCACAGTCTGCCTGTGCAACGAAAACAGTGCTGAAGGAAGCTAGGCAAACCAAGGCTGTGCTGGAAACACAAAGCCAGGTGTAGCATCTGCCTTTCTCAGCGCCTGTAGCCTCGATGCTGTTACGTGACCACAACAGATTTCTCACTAGGAAGGTGGGCTGATTATTTCTAGTACTCAAGTGAACCACTTACATCATTACCCAAATATGAGCTAGATAGCAGTGATGTGTAGCATGTTTAAGGTTTGTTTATTCCTTCGCCATGACAGAAATAGACAAAGTTTCATTTCTATGCCATTACCACAAGCTCAGACAAAGTATTTTTTTTATTCGGGGAGATCTCAGCTAAAACCACAGCTACCCGCACTGGACAATGTCTGTCATAGCCTGGGCTCACGTGATCGCCTCATTACAGAGCCAGAACACCTAGTGCATAGAACAAAAGCCAGCAGTTGATTACGGCTTTGATGTTGTTTTTAAGAAAGCTGAAGGACCACATTTGCATTCCTGCTGCAGCCATCTATGGAAGCTCTGCCCACGTCAGGATTGTGTGGTCTGCGAGTGATGTTCAGCGCTCATCTTTTAAATTTTCCTTTTAGCATATTTTTCCAGGATTTATTTTCTCCTGATTTACGTCTGAACAAGAAATATGCCATTAATAGGGTCAGTCAGCATCAGCAGCCCTTCGTCAGAGAGCAGATGCTGTGCAGGGAGCAGAATGCAGGGAAACTGCTTGGGAAACATCCCAAGATCCACAGGCCTTTCTGAGCAGGGTCGTCAGGGAGGTGCTGCCCTTCAGGCAAGGGACGAATGCTTTGGCACATGCTTTAGTTCAGCCTGCTTTGATCAGGATGCCAGCAGAGCTCCCTGGGAGCAGCATCTTGTGAGAAGTGAAACCTGCACTCAGCTCACGTGTACAGAAAGGAGAAAAGGAAGGGGGGCAGCATGGAAAGGAAAGGGGAAAAGGGAAAAGGGGAAGGGGAACAAAAAGGAAAGGAGCAAAGCTGACCATTCAAAACCCACTAGAACAATGAGTAAGATTTAAGTACATGATTGAGGACTCTTGTACACAAACCTAATTTGTCACACACTCCTCTGTTCACTTCTTAGATTAGCACAGCTCACTCCTTTTACATTTCAAATGCTACTACATCACTTTAACCCAAAGGTACAAGTCAAAGATTTCCATGAGAATTTGACTCCTTCCAAGGAAGAGGCTTCATCCTTGATCTGTTCTGCCCTCACCCAGCAGGGCTCTTAAATGTGGAGGAGGTGGGATCCTGTGCTACACCAAGAGATGTTCTCAGCCCCAGCACCACAGCCTCTGCTAGGAACCATCTCTGTATTTTTTATGTAATAACGGCTGTTATAAATCCTTAACACTGAGGTGAAAAGCACACATCACACACATCACCATGAGAATTTGTTAAGACAGCGGTAAATGCAAGCAGCAGCTCTAAAAATAAATACAGTTATTCTATTTTCCTTTTTCCAAGGCTTCCTGGTCTACTGCACAGATCTGTTTTCCCCTAAACAAACACGAGGAAATGCTGTAGAACAGTTTTTGAAGACAGGACTGTTGAAGTCCCTGGAATTAAGACACCACAGCTTACATTTGCCAAGTGACTTGTTCATAATCATACACAACATTTCTATTCTACCTCTGCAGGACAGCTGTTCTTTCCTACATTGTCTTTCCACACTGTTGTGCTCTGAGAATGTGGCAGACATGAATCCTAACAAGGAACACAAGATGGTCTAACATATCTCAGTACTGTATCAGCTTAGTGACACCAATCACAACTTACATTTCAAAAGCAGCCCCATCAGAACAAGTGGAGAAGAACTCAGGCTTTGACTGTTGATTTTTCTGTGCCTTCACTTTCCATGAACTGACAAGCAACACAGACCTGGTATTCAAAAAAATGCCTGTCTTCATTTCTGATCCTTTCAACAAATCCTGCATGTGGCCGTAAAAAATCAATATGTGTTTATACACATACGTATGTGTAAATCTCACCTCCACCCAAGTTAACCTTATCAAACAGCTGAGTAATGAGAATCATTCCCGCAGAGCCCAAATCTCCCGCACTGACAAATTCCAACACAACAGCACACGACCATTTTTAGAAACAAAAATACGTTCTGAGAGATGCCAGTGGCTCGGAGTGGGGTTTGTTCTCAAGGGAAAAATTGTTTGAGCAGGACCCCAATAATTCAAAGAGCGGGTGTGCAACGGTGACGTTTGGTGATCTCTTTCTGTTCCTTTCAGATGATGAGGAGCACGAGTGGATCACCCGGACCTGCCGCAAAGCTGAGGACGGAGCACCGGGGCAGAAACCTGGCCCATGAAAGCTGGTTTTGCTAGACAGTAACATTCCAAAGCAGGTGATGTGATTGACAATACGTCTGATTTGTCACTGCTCTTACATCACCCTGTCCCTCTACAGGAATATCATCTTTTTGTCATCTCCGTCAGCATAAACAAAAATGGAAATAATCACTTAATCAGTCATGCTGAGAAAAAAAGCCATGAAAGAGAGCAGACTGCTCTCACAGCAATATTCCTGAGAGGTGTGTGCAGTACATACACACGTCATTAAGCCTGAAAACAATTTGTTAAAAAGAGTGCCTCAGATTCAGTGTTGAAGTCATTCAAATCCATCTTAATCAACATTATTTTCCCAGATTTCAGTTAGCTGTCCTGGTGAATTCCTTTCCTCTCTTTTTGCTCAGTACTTTGATATTGATTGATCATTGTAATAATGTACACCAGAGGTATTCTTTAATGACTGGTTTGCTAACTAGGAAATTATATCCATTTACTACGAACATTTGTTGAACTCTCCTGAAGCCGGAATTTAACAAAATAATAAAAGAGGAGAACTGGGTGGGTTGCTGCTTGATTAGTAAGCCAGAAAGTATTTAAAAAATAAAATAAAATGGAATTACATCATTTTCTGGATGTAAGTGCCAGCACTTCTACTTGCATTAACTTTATTTATTACACAAATAAGACATTTACAAAGCACAACATTAAAAGTATGTAACAAAACAGACATTGGTTTTACAAAAAAGTGCTTACAATTTAGTTTTAATTTTTAAAATAAATTAGTCTTGACTGTCCACTCGTTCAGAGAATTTCTTAACCATTGTAGCCAAGACATGCATAATTGCAACATGCTACAACAAAATGATTGGCTGACGAAACAAAACCAATGTTTCTATAGTTGGCATCCTACAGATGTATCACTGATAGCAGGGCAGGATTGAATCCTGCTCCCTGTCCAACCAGTGAGTTGTGTAAGCACCTTTAGCTGGGCGTGGGGGTTAACCAGCATGAGCCAAAATAAAAAAGAATTGGTAATCATCCCGTAAACCATTCCTATTTCAGACCCTCACCGTATTCAGTTACCTTATTCAACTCAAGTGAAAAGCCTCTTGCTGCCTGTCTTCACTGCATTTTTGTCTGCAAAAGTTTTTGGAAATAGCAACTGCAGAAGTTTATTACGTGGAGTCTACGTTGTTGCACCAGAACCCATTTGGCAATTACTGAATAAACTAAGAAAATGGGAATGATTTTACTTTATTTTTTGCTTTTAATCTACAGACAGGAGATGAATGCAAATGACCTGAGATAAGGTTTGGTTCAGTGGCAACAGTCAGCATGAAATAGATCGTGAAACAATGTATTGAATAAATTAGAGGATTTCTTACATTCTTGGTACAGTTGAGTATTTTCCATACACATAATTAGCTCTAAAACTGCACAAGCTGAATTGCTTCCAGTTTTTTGCAAACAGTTTGGGCTTGATATAAACAGAGCCTGATTTCTGAATTAGCAAAGCTGCTCGTGGCTACCTGTGGGAAGCTGCCCTCAGCCCGTGCTGCACAGCGATGCTCCCCGCTGCGCCTGCCCTCCCCAGCCCATGCATTACAGCCACTCCCAACAGCGGCGTCCATCTCACAACTCGGACGTACAGTGTGATTCTCAAGTGGTTTGTCATCAGCAACTCAGCTGATAGTTTGCAGGTATGTGTTTAACAGCCTCTCTTTCGTGGCACTGCTGAGACAGAAGATAAATACAAGAGACCGCTTTCTCCCTCAAAAAACCGTTGTGGGAATCTCAAGCGCTGCGGGCCGTCAGGTCACCTCACAGCCTGAGGTCTCTCCTTCAGCCTCAGCTTGGACCTGTTAGCTACCCGTCTGCTAACTGCTCCAATTCCACAGCCTAACAATCACTCGAACACACAAGCTCGAATTGAGGAGTGGGGCCCTGGTGACCCCCGAACCAGCAGCTCTCCCAGCCGAGCTGTGCACACACAGCAACATGCAGGAAGCAAAGAGCTCTGCTCACAGCCCATGGAGGTGGGCTGGACCACTACAGGCAGGGAGAAGGGACACAAACGCAGCACCTTAGGGCTGCTTCTGCCCAAGGAGATGCTGGGGAGCAGTGCCTCCTGCCAGGCCACGCACAGGGTGTGTTTGGGCACACACTGGGAGTGGACATTCACATGTCAGATGGTGACAGTAGCACTTTGCGGACCTAATTTCCTCTCTCCTTCCAAATGTTATTTCAGACTGAGAATGGAGCTGCTAGCTGTTGGCTGCAATTAGAACACTGGCCTAGCTGTCCAAATATTACAGCAGTCTCTCTTTTACATACACACACACACACATACACACAGAGGTGTGTGTATGTATTTCTTTCAGGATATCAACACGTGCTGGTGTTCAGCTATTTCTCCAACCAAGAGAACTTGGTGCCCACCCAGCAGACACAGTGTGAGCCAGTGCCACCAGCTCACCATGCAGGGCTGATGCTGGAAATTGATCTCCAGAGAGAAAAACACGAGTATTTGAATTAAAAACAAGTTACATAACTGATAGATTCCTGTCTTCTGCTCCTCAGGCACAGCTCAGTCACGTTACGCACTGACTGTGGCTCATTGCAGGCTTTCACATTCTCGGAAATGCTGCCTCCTGAAAGTAAGCAGCAAGACAGACCTATGTGCTCCCATGGAGAGGGGCTTTGTTAGCAACCTTGGCTCTTGGCTCAGTGCAAGCTGAGAAGGGCTGGCAAATGCTAGCTGTTTACTTTTTGTTATTACCATCAATGAAGTATCATTTCAGAGCTTTTTTCCTGATCTGCAGCCAGACGGCCGAGTACTTCCTTTGTTGTTGCCATGAGACTGCCCCAAGGGTGAGCCCCACACGCCTGCTCCTCCGTGCACAACCGGTCAGGACTGTGCCTCATCCAGGGACCTGGCAGGAGCAGCTGCCTTGCTCTGGTAAGGGATAGGGGTGAGCAGGTGTTGCCAGATGGAGGAACACGCATTGCCTCGCTGCCTGCCGGCCTCACTGCTGGCAGAACTTCCCTGGCTGCTCCCCGGTCCCTCCCTGCTCTTCTCACTAACTGAGCCCAGAGCTGGGCCCCTCTCCTGGGGTCCACGCCAGAGCAAGTCACTTCTACACATCTACTGGTGAGCTTCCCTTAAGGATTTCTCAGTCCCAGTGTATGGAGCATCTAAGAGTTTGGTGTAGGTACATTCCCAAATCACCCATTCATCATCCAACATGACTTAAAGGAAATAAAGTAGCTTGTTAATAAGGAACGAGAATAATAATAATAAAAAGATTTGGCAAATGGCTGTGAGAGGAGAGACAGTCGGTGCTCTGAGAATAAGTCAGCAAATGAAACCTTCAGAGTGCCAAGCCTGGCTCTGCCACCGACCAACCCTACCACTCCTTTCAGTTCAGGACATCTCCATATCCCCTCCTATGAAATGGGGGGAACACTAAGATTTACTTACCTTACAGAGTGATCAAAGGGCATGTGATTCTAAAGCACTTTGAGAAGGAAGAAAAACTGCCTATTTCCAGCTGGCATCGTGTTTTCCACTTAGTGGAGTCACAGCTACCTGTGACTTTGGCTCAGGAGTCCTCCGTGTACTCTGAGTTGCTGAGCCAGAGCCCATTTCAAGTCTCACACATGCAAGTGTAAATGAGGAGGGATGTCCGGGAACCAACAGTGCTTCACTGGTGCAAAAAGAGAATCAGGCCAAACTGTGTAAATTCCTCCTTTCTTTATATTCGTGGGTGATCATCCAACCCCCCGTGATTCAGCGTGTACTGATGTGTTCATGTGCCCACGGCTTGGGAGCAAGGTTTGTAAGCACAGCAGTCACTCATTTGGGCTGTGTCTGGCATTGTCTTGGAGAGACTCACTGTCATTCTACAAGTCCACAAGAAACAAGTGAAAAATGCAACTCTGCACTTGACACACATATACACAGAGTGTTGCTGGAGAAATAAGAGTGGATGTTAGATGCTGGTCAATGGGAATAACCGAGAATGCCGAATCTGAGTTTCTCCTGCATGACTGAGAACAGTTGCCTTGGGCTGGACACTGCGTTTCAGCGACTGAGGGGCAGTGGTGCTGGGAGCGCCATGGGCAGGCGAGGAAGAGCTTGCGGAGTCAGTACTGAAAGAGGATGACCTGGGGGAGAAACAGGAACCAAGCGTTAGCTGCTTCCAGAGACAAGCGGCCCTCACGGCAGAAATGGGATCTCAGGGAGCAGCCAGGCAGCACGCACCCAGCTGAAGCAGGGCAGCCACCTTCACTGAGGGACAAGCTCTTGTGAGCCATTGTTGTCCCCAGTCCTGCTCCTAGAACAGAGCCTGCAGGGAACACAGTTTTCTGGAATTCACCATGGAAGGAATTGTTTGGAAAAGGAATTTGGAAGGCAGCTCTATGTCCTGAGAACCCAGTCCTGCAACATCTGCAAGCAAGCAACAGCATTTAAGTCACAGGAGCTAGCTGCTGCTGCAGAGTCTCTTTGAATGACAGCATCAGAACTACATAACATTTCTGAAAACTCCGCAGTTTCTGTGGTGATAAAGTCATGATAAAATGATAGCACTCTGACCAAGCAGTAACTTGCTGTGCCCCTGCCTCTGCTTGTCAAAACATAGCTCAATAATCTCTGGTTGCTGCACTAAACAGAAAGAGATGCTGAGAACTTCTAAAAGATGAAAGCTAAAATGATGCCAAAGGCTCAGCATTTCCTCAAAATGAAACCACTTAAATTGAGATCCCAAGCACATATGCAACAGTTCAGAAGCCTTGCCCCCAGATGAGCCCTATGTAAGAATGGACAGATGCTGAGGGGCTCAACAGCAAAATATCAATGCATGTTTCTTAGCGAGACGTTGTGAAATAACATTCCGATTCATGATACAGTAACAGCCAGTTGTTATTTTTTGAGCAATTCTGGAATTCCCAAGAAATGAACCTTTCCTGTTAACTCATGGAAAGCTGTGCAGACCGAGCACCAGCAGTTCTGGGGGAAGGGAGAACCGGGCACAGAGGAGCTCAGGCAGGAGGTCACGAGACCCCAAGGCATCTCAGCACACCACGACATTGTGGGGCATTCAGTGCAGAATGCAGTTGTGCCATTTACCGACAGTCATTCTAAGGTCACCAAAATGAAGGAAACACAGCCAAGAGCCGGCGGCTGCCAGATCACAGAGTGCTGCTCACAAGAGCCAGCGGTGGCACTGATAGGACACAAAAGCTGCTGCTACAGGAGGAGGTTGGCCCCAAACTGGCAGCAAGGACCAGCATTACCTTCTCGCCCCTATTCGATAGCGGTCCTTCCATGTCTGCTTTGAGGTGCACTGGAGGAGCCGTGTAGGGAAGTCTACAGTGCACTTGTCCACACTGTACCTGACCTGTGGAGGAGAAAGGCCTCAGCCCCGTGCCCACAGCCAGCCCCACAGCGCGGCCTGGCCAGGGGGCTCTGAGGGGACATCGCCAGGCTGGGGCTCGCCAGGGCCCTGTCCCTCTGTGAGGGGTGAGGGTGAGGAGAAGCTCTGTGGGCTCACAGAGCCCAGGCGCTCCGTCCCACTCGCCCTTCTGCCATAACACCACTCGCAGGCGCTCCGTCATGGCCTGGCGGTGAAACAGCCAGCCTGCGAGCGGGCTGCTCGCTGTGGAAAACATAGAAAGGCCTGCAGCGGTAACGCCAAGGAGAGGAGCTCTGTGGGGCCGAGCTGTGCCCCCCCCCGGCCCTGCACTCACTCTCAATGTATCCATGCAGTGTCACCATGCGGGCCCTCTCCGGGCTGCTGAAGGGCGAATAGTGGATGTCCTCGGCGAGGGAGGAGGGGATGCGGGGCGGGGGGGGCCCCGAGGGCGGCACCGTGTGCTGGGGAGTGTGTTTTTTATGGCGGGCTCGGCAGTTCTGGAACCAAACCTGCAACGAAAGCAGAGGACACTGAGGGAGGAGGGCAGCGGGCTGAGCTGCACTCACACACGGGGAGCCATCGCCTCGCACACAGACCCACAACAGCCACCTCTGCAATCACAAAAGGAACCGTGTGTGGAAATGCCCACACAAACACCACGACAGCGTCCGCTGGTCCCACAGCGTTTCACTGCAGCTGAGAAATGCCGGTGCTGCAGGAGACAGCCCTGCTCCGTCCCACCGGCAGCCACGACTGTGTCTCACTGCTGTTGATTAAAGCAATGGTTTGGGGTTACGCCCTAGAACTAAAACATGAGTGGAAGTTTTTCCATGCCAGTGTGGTGTTTTCTTTCTTAAGCTTTAATTTCTTTAGGAAAATTGGGAGAGAAATCCTTCCACAAGTCACAGCACGGAGCAGTGCCCTGAGGCCATGCAACGGCCACAGCAAGGAAACAGCCACAAGCGTTTGACAAATCGCTTCCTGCTCAAAGCACCTTCAAAAAACAGCCCATAAAGAATCGCCCTGCACGTGGGCTACTTGATCCCGTGCTGAATGAAGAGTCTCAAGAATGGAGGCCTGAGCCAGGTCTTTACACATTAGAAAGTTAAACACGTCTTTGGTAGAAGAACGCTGGATGATGCCCACACTTTGCCTTCATCCCACACCCCGTATCCCACACCTGCTTCCCATACCCTGCGTCCCACACGCCGCATCCACCTGTATCCCATGCCTGCATCCCATGCACTACATCCTGCATGCTCGCCCACGGCCATCCCTCACCTGAATGACTCTCCGACTCAGCCCCGTCATGTCTGCGAGTTTCTGAAGAGTTTGTGCATCGGGGTTGTTGTCCTGAGCAAACTGTGCCTGCATGACCTGGCAGGTGGCAAGGAGAGGAGTCAGCTTGCAGCTGACACCGCAGCCCTTCCCGCCCCCAGCCCAGCCCCACTACCTGCAGCTGCTCAGCGGTGAAGGAGGTGCGGGCCCTTTTGGCTGGCTTTGGCTGGCTGTCCTGCTCTGAGGGCACGGCCCCCTCCAGTGTGATCCCATTGCCTGCGAAAGAGAAGCCCAGTTTGAGTTCAGTGCAAAGAGCTGAACAACAGCCGTGTGCCTCAAGCGTCCCTCGGTGTGCATAGCAGTGCTGGTCTGGAGCTGCATGGGGCCACTGAGTTCTCCATCGCCAAGGGCAATGCTGACCCTGATGGGTTTAAAGTTGAGTAGCAGCAATGTTGTGGAAGATGTGGAGAATTATGGATGGGGAAAGGGAAGTGGGAAGATGGATTCTGAGGTCAATTGAGCCAGCCCAGTCTCGTGGTCACCACTTGGCCGCATGCCCCAGCAAGCAGCCCAGAGGAGCCCTGCCTGCTGCTGGGCACACCAGGACCCACACCATGTCACATCCCCGTTGCCTCCATCACCTGTGTCATTTCAACAGGCTCCTTGCTCTTTTCCCTGGCCCCAAACCTCCCTGACCTCCTCCTGGGCCCTGAGGCAGCAACAGCAGAAGCAGCCCCTTCCCTGCAGCACCACTCTGCATGATACCATGGCCCAGGGCAGCAGCCTTTCTGCAGAGAGATGTGCTGAGGCAAGCCTGACTGTGCTCATGCAGCCATGGAGCCACTGGGGGAGAGGCCAAGGCCAGGGCCAGGACCAGGGCCCCCACCCCATACTGGGGTCTGCAGTGAAGCCCATGCACTGCCCAGAGGAGTGATGGATGAGGGAGGGTGCATGCATGGGGCTGGCGCTCGCCCCGCTCCCAGGATGCGCCTGCACACCACGGTGTTTGCTCTGCAAGCTGGACAGGGTTGTGATTGTCTTGGCTGGAGTTGAAGGACTTTCTCATATAGTTTGACTTGTTCTTTTAGGATGATGAATGGGACTCTGACTTCAGCAACATCTGTTTATTTTTCTTGTGTGTAAAACCTCATGTGCAGAAGAAATTGCTGGGTAATTACTGGAGGGGGAAAAACGTGTGGCCCTTTAACTCTGCAGCAGTGCAGCTCCCCAGAGCCTTCCCATCCCCTCCTCCAGCCAAAGGGCATGGGGAGGTGGGCACCTGCCTGCGGACACTCAGCCCCTGTCCTGACACTACCACAGCCCCTTCTGCAACACAAATCCCAGCCCTTGGGCAGGGCCAGGGCACTGAAGGATCTCACAGACAGGCCCAGCCATGACCACAGCTGCAGCCCCGCAGCCCCACACTCCTCCCAGACCCACGGCCCCTCCTTCCATGCCCTATGCCCTTCAAACCAGCCAGCCATTGGAGCCTCCCAGCCCAACAGGGCACACTGTTTCCATCCTCTTACCCAAATGCTGTAAACAGAAACACTGATTATTTTCATGTCAGGTTGTTAATCACTTCCACATGCTGCACAGGCTGGGACGTGGCATTGGCCTCCCCACAACCGTGAAGCTCTACTGAGTGGCACACAGGCAGGAGCTGCACTCCCAGTGCAGAGGGTCCCTGGGCACTTCCCTCAGCATTTCTGCAGCTGCACAGTATCTCCGTGGGCAGTGTCCCTGCAATCCAGCCAAGCACCAGAGAGGCAGGCAGGCCCTCTGCAGCCCCGCTCCTGTCACCACACAGCCAGCCGCAGCCTGAGAATGTGGGGCAGGTTCCACTCTGGCCCAGCCCAGTGATAACACGATATGGCATGGCCTCACAAACCCTCCAGAGCCACTTTGTTCTGAGCACCACTCAGCCGCTGCCCTGCAGCCATGACAGTGCATGACCTCATGGCACCGGCAGCAGTGGGATGCAGTTTGGAATGTGAAAGCCACTTGCAGCGCATCCCTGGGCGGGCAGGGCCAGTGGAAAATGATGGGAAGGGTTTGTACACCCGCCAGGTTTCCCACCTTCTAGATTTATGACTCACAGCCTCCAAATCCCCACGGCTTTCTGACCCACCACATGTGGCAGTGAGGCACAGCGGTGCGGTGGAAGCAGGGCCGGGGCCGTGCTCAGCACTGCCCTCAGCACACGGCTCTGCTGCAGGACCCTTGCATGGCCAGCGCAGGAGCAGCTGCTCTGCAGACACCATCCCGCAATCCACACATGGAAACAGCCCTGGCCCCTCGCCATGGGCGGCGATATCCCAGCGCAGTACCTGGGCCAAGGGCAGTGTTGTGGCCACGTACCATTTTCTGCTGCTCGCTTGAGGTTCTCTATCATGGTGTCATAGTGGATCCGGCACAGCACCTTCTCCTCCACCAAGCCGAACTCCTCGCCCGTGGAGAGCTGCCTCTTGCAGGAGAAGCAGGCGAAGCAGGCCAGGTGGTAGGCATTGCCGCGCGCCCGCCGCACCCAATCACTGGCGTAGATCTGCCGGCCGCAGCGGGCGCACTTGGTACCAAAACGGCTGCAGGAGGAGAAGACACAGCGTGAGGGTGGGCAGCAGAGCCTGAACCCCCCCGAATCCCCTGAGCCCACACGGAGAAAGGGTGGCAGTGAGAACGCCCCGGAGCTGCTCGCAGGCAGGGATCTCCAGCACAGGGTGCAGCCGAGGGCCGAGCTGTGTGAGCAAGCGCTGAGGTCACGCAGTGCAGTGAATCAGCCTCCAAGTTCACGGGCTTTTTATTTTGATAACAGGCGGTGTGACACTCAGATGGAAATTCTGTTAGAGCCATTTTTCCCCTACTGCAATAAATCAAAACATGTGTTTTCTCCTAACACATACAAACGTATGCATCTGCTCTTTCCTCCTACAAGGAGGTCTCCTCGCAGTGAGAAGATGATGATTGTGCTCGGGTTTATTTATGCTGGGAACTATTGTGGCGGAATGAGGAGGTACCGATGCCGCCCCATCCCCGCACACCAGCGGCTCTGCCTCAGCATCTCAGCACCGCGCTGCCGGCAGCTGCCCGGGCACAGCCAGCCTCAGCTTCTGCTAACACGGGTGGGTGCTCAGTTCGAGTTTTATTACTGTTAAAATAAATAAACACACCAAGCAGCGAGCAGTGGGGGGAGGCGAGCATCTCCTCCAGCACGGCAGAGCTGATGCTGGCCCTGACACAGCCCTGATCTCAGCCGCTGAGGAAGAGAAAGGTTTAAATTTTTCAGCCTGACCATCGCTGACCAAAAAAAAAAAAATTAAAAAAAAAAAAAAAATCAACCCCAAAACCTGGACCAACAAAAAAAAGCTGCTTAAAGAGGACATTTCTGAGCTGAAATTATACAGAGACTTAGCTAAGAGATTTCGCTAATTTACTTCAGATGGGAACATTGTAAACTGACTTTGTGCCAGCTCACTTATATAAACGCACAAACAAAAGAACTGTATTAATTTTTTATTTAGAAGTAGAAATCGTTCCTGTAAGTCGAATTACTTTGAACAATGCGCTATATAAACAGTCGTATTTGCAGAACGCTCTCAGTCAAGGGGGCAGGCTCAGAGGAACTAACGACACGTGGTAGTCGCCTCTCCCCACTTCCATCACTCCCTGCTCCGAGCGGGCAATGCAGTGTGCTGGGACAGGCACGGCCCGCGCTGCTACTGGAGAGGATGGCTCAGAAATGAGACCCTGCAATGCACCGAGCTGCTCCTGATGCTGGGCAGTGAGAGCCCCGTGAGCCCTGCGCACTCGGCAGCTGCAGGGCACAGGGGTGGTCTGTGGGGCTCCCACTGCCCGCCTGGCAGTGAGGGGACAAGGATGGGGCCGAGGACGGAGCCACGCTGCAGCAGGATGCAGCCCAACTGGTATCCCTGCTGGCAATGCTTGAATTCACAGCCCAGGCATCGCCACCAGCCCTGGCCCCTCGCAGGGTTTGGGGCTGGATGAGCAGGCACTGCCAGCTCTCCGTGACAGGAGACAGAAAGCAGCATCAGGCATTTCCAAGGAGGAATCACCCCATTCCACCACCTCAGGGAGGGTTGCAGTGCCTGGGGCACAGGAAGGCACCCGGTGCCACAACTCCCAGCCCTGGCACCCACTCCTGCCCACGAGGTCAAGGTGAGGGCCACCCAGGGCCATCCACAGCCCCAAAATCCCCATCCCCTCCTGGTGAGCTCCATCAGAAGACCCTAATGCAGCCCCAGCAGCAGCAGCTCCCAGAGATCGCACAGAGCGATGCAGAAGACCAAAGCAAGCCCATCTCCACGCCGAGCCACAGCTGTGCCCAGGCTGGAGCACCACCCTGCAGCACAGAGGAGAGGGGTGGCAGAGGTCACACTGCCACCAGCCCACCTGCAGGCCCTTGCTGTTCCAACCCACAGGGATGCACGCCAGGGCTGCTGTCCACGCACGCTGTCTGTGCCCCGGGCAGCCCAGCACGGCGCAGCATCCCAGGGTCACACCAGGAGCACACCAGGACCCGGCTCTCTGCAGCCGTGGGAGTTTGGCCACAAGCAGCCCTCGCATCGCCTGGGAACACTGTGTTCCTCCAACGGAGCTCCACGAGCTCCAGTTTTAATTTGGTTCTCCTCAAAGCGCTGGAGCCCTGGATGCCAAATGCAATTATTTGACAAGACACAGGAAACAGCAACGCTTGCTCAAAAATGCACGAGGCCGTGGAGCTGCCGCAGAGCCAGCACTTACACAGCTTCACACGTGCAGGGAAGGGCCGGGAGCAGCAGGGGGCACGGGGCAGCGCCTGCGGGTGGCCCCGCGCTGACCCTCGGCATTGGCACCGGGCAGCGATCCCTGCATGGCTGCATCCCCGGGAACTGGCAGCGGGGCTGTCTGCTCCGCTGTTAAAAAACACATTTCATACGCAGCAATACAAAGAAAGATAGAAAGACAGAAAGAAGAAAGAAAGAAGAACAAAAGAAAAATAAAATAATAATAATCATAACAAGTCTAAACAGTCAAATTTGCGCTTTGCCAAGCGCTGCGTCCCTGCTGTCTGGGGATCTGCAGGGCAGTCCTGAGAAGATCGGCGCCGTCTCGGAGAGGAACCCGGGTGGGGTTCGTCCGAGGCAGCAGCCCGACCGCCGGCGGCCCCGACCCGCGACCATTGCGGCTCCTGATCGCGGCGCTCCTGGAGCCCGGCCCGACCCGCCAGCACCGGGAACCGACGGCAGCGGCAGCACGGATCGGATCGGCTCCGCTCCGCCCGGCCCCGCGCCGCATCGTTTCCCGCACACACAAAAACGAAATCATTTTGTGCTACAGCCAAAGGCGGGGCGCGGGTGCGGAGCTCCCCCCCAGCGGCACCGGCCCGCCGTGCCCACCTCCGCGCTCCGCTCCGGCCCCGCGCTGCGCACCGCAGTTCCCGGCACAGACGGTGCTTTGGGGGCAGATCTCGTTCCCCGCATTTGCCCATAGCCAATTTCGAGATTCGGTTCGCTGCTTTAAAGCCGTCTTTGAAAACTTCCATCCTTTCAAAATATTAATGAAATCAAAACGATTATTAATTAATGGAAACGCTGAAAGCGCTCCGAAGCAGCGAAGCGGCACCTCACAGTTCCCCAAACGTCCGTGGGTGCGGGGGGGATTCCAGCGGACTCCGGAGCCGGCGGTGCGCACACGACAGCGGCACCGGGACGGAAGAGCACGGGACAGCCTCACCGTAAATAATAAAAACAATAGTAACAACAATAATAGCAAAAAAAAATAATAGTTAAAAAACAAAACATTGCGGAATTCAGCAGCGCGCTCCCTCGCAGCACAGCCGCCACCCGCTCCGTCCCGCAGCGCAGCCCCGCAGGGCTGAGCATCTCTTGCCCGCGGCTCTCCCTCCCTCCCGGCATTCCCGCACCGCGCCGGGACGGGAAGCGCCGGCGCTGAGGGCTGTGGGGCGAATGGAGCCCCAGCGAAGAGTTTGGGATTCCTCCACCCCTCGCGCCGCAGTTTCTGGAAGAACGCGCCGTGGGAGGTTATCACCCAGAGGCGATCACCGGGCTGCGGCCCGACTGCGGAACGCCGACCGCGGGGACGCGGCTCCGAACCTCGCGGTGCGTCCCTGCCCGGCGGCCCCCGGCCCCGCCGCACACCCGCCCGAGGGCTCCGCGAGGCCGGGAATTGTTTCGGTTCTGTACCTTTCTGACACCAACGACACTTCGGCTTTTTTTGGTGCTAGCCGGCATAAAAATGGTTTTAGAAACCATTCGGCCCCGCAGACGGCCGGGGACGCTTCTAAAAGCCGGGCCGTACCGTCCAGGACAATGCCCCGCACCGCGGTCCCGCACCGCAGCGGGAGGCGGGGAAGGATCCCCGGGCGGGGCCGCGGCCGCCCCCGGCTCCGTTCCTCCCGCAGCCCCGCGCCGCCCCGAGCAGCAGCTTTGCGGCCCGGCAGCTTCGCAGCCGTTTCCCGCAGGGACCGGCCAAGGACGCCGCGCACCCCCCGGCCCGGCTCCTACCTGAAGTAGTCCATCTTGCAGAAGATCTCCTTGTTCTTGATGTAGCAGCTGTGCTGCTGCCGCAGCGAGGTCCGGCACACGGAGCACTCGAGGCAGCGGACGTGCCAGATGAGGTTGTTCACCTGCGGCGGAGCGGACAGAGGCTGAGACCCGGGGCCACCCGCAGCCGCCCCGCCGCCCCGCCGCCCCCCGCTCACCTTCAGCAGGTACCGGTCGAGGATCTCCAGCCCGCAGCTGGAGCACACGTTCTTGCCGGCCGACGGCGTGGAGGAGGAGGACGAGGACGGCGGGGAGCAGACGGACGGCGTGGAGGGGGTGCTGGGCGCCGAGCGGGCGTCCTCCTTCTCCAGCGCTGCGGGCAGCGGCTCCCCGTCGGGCTGCGACTGCGGGCACAGCCCCGCGGGTATCCGTCAGCCGCGGCCCCAACGCTCCCGACGCGATCCCCGCCGCGTCCCGACCCCGCATCCCGCACCGCTTACCATGGCGCGGCCGTGCGGGTCGAGGCAGCGGGCGGTAGCTTTGGGCAGCGGCTCCGGCGGCATCACCTTGCGGGAGAGAGCGGGAGAGGGCGGCTGCGGTTCCATGCGCCGGGCGAGCGCGGGGCACCCTATATAAACCGCCTCAAAACAATAAATAAGAACTTTCTAGTGGCCATTTAAATCCTTTGCAACAAAAGCTGCGTCTCTTTAATGAAGCAATTTGAATGTGGATTGAATTCTCTCCCTGCCTGCACTTAACCCGGGCCTCTTGAAGTAATCGCTCGGTTCCCATGCGAGCCAAAGCGCTGAAAAAAACCCACAAACTACCTGCAATTAGAAATTGCCGTAAATGCCCGAGATAAGAGGTACCCAGAGTGTCAATTCCGGCTGTCAATCAGGGAATCCATCAGGCCACCCAAAGAATTGCAAATTTGATTTTTTTAATGGTAGTAATTAAAAATCGAAATTCTTCCCCCTCTCCCTCCGCCGAGCGCGAAACGCCCCAGAAAGCGCCGGGATGCGAAATCCTCCCCTTCGGCGCGGGAGGCGGCGAGCGACCCCCGGGCCCGGCCCGGCCCGCACCGCCCCGCACCGCCCCGCGGCCCCGCGCCCGGCCCCGACGGCGCTCACCTT